CGGGGACCGGGGCGCGGGGACGCGCGGAGCCCCCTCCCACCCGGGAGCGCGACCCCGCCCGCGCGCGTCTGTTGGCGAGCGGTCTCCTTTCTGGTGATTGCACTGAAACACTTTTATTTTTTCGTTATCTCTGTGTGTGCCGGTGAAGGGGGCGCCCCGGATTAAGTCTGGGGGCCCAGGGGCGGGAAGTGGCCGTTTCGGGCGAGTCCCTCCTTGTTTCGCGCGGGACGGTGAGTGACCACTGGTTTCCGGTCCCTGCGCTGCTGGGGTGACTCAGTTTTAGGTTTCTATTCCCCACCCTCTGAAGATCTGTCAGTTTTCATTAGTGGGAGCTTCCGGTTAGGGGGTGGTCATCGCAGGGGCGTGGCCAGGCTGGCGGGCCCGGGCGGGGCGGGGGTGGCGCCTGCGTCCTGATTGGGTGAGCTTATCAGAGTCGGGTATTTTCAGGTCCCCCCCTCCCGTGTTGAGGAATGAAAGAGGGGACCCGGGTTAGGTTTTTCTTTTTCCTTTATTTTTTGCGGTACTGGGGATCGAACCCTTGACCTTCTCACTGAGCTGCATCCCCAGTCCTTATTTTATATTTTGAAAGAGAGTCTTGCTAAATTGCCCAGGCTGGGCTGAAACTTGGGGTCTTCTTGCCTCAGTCTCCCAGAGTACTTGGGTTACAGGCGTAAGCCTCCACGCCTAGCCATATTATGCGTTTAAAAAGTAAGGGTCTGCTCACATTGGATCTGCGCTGTCCACGAAGAAGGCCAGTGGCCATGTGTGACTACTGACTGCTTCAATGTGGGTAGGACGAATGGTGATGTCCTCCTGGTGTGATGTTAAAAGTCTGACTTTAAAAACAGCACTAGAGTGGACCGGGGATATAGCTCACTGGCACAGCGCCTGCCTGGCAAGCGCTAGGTCCTGAGTTTGATTCCCGGTACCAAAAACTAAAAATAGAAACAGCACGAGAAGAAAGAACTTTAAAAAAGATTTTAAAAACTTCAAAGGCCAGGAGTGGTGGCGCACGCCTATAATCCCAGCACTTAGGAGGCTGAGGCAGGAGGATCATTGCGAGTTCGAGACCAGCCTGGGCTGCAAAGTGAGCTCAAAGTCAGCCTGAACTCCATAGAGAGACTGTCTCAAAAAGACAAACAAAACAAAACAAAAAAAAAACCCCTTTATTGGTAATCCTTTGTACGGTACTTAATATGTGTTGAAATGATAATATTGTGGACGTATTGGATTGAAATATAAAGTCAGAATTACTGTCAACAATCTCTTTGTGCTTCGGTAGCACAGCTACTTGGCAGGTTAAAATGGCTTGTGTGGCTGGCCATATATTTCTGTTGGACAGCTCTCAACTGGGGCATCCGAATGGGGGAGGGGCCGAGCCTCTGTCTGCCATCTGCTAGCCTTTTCCTGCTTCTCTGGAAGCAGGCTTGTGGCCTCCTTCCCTGGAGGCGCTCAAGGAATCTGCTGCCGTGCTCTCACCCTCTTTTGAACTGATGAGCTGAATTGCTCAGTAGGGATCTTGTCCTAATTTGCAAAATGATTCAAGTTAAGGGACACAGTTTTCAGTCTTGAGAAATTTCCCCTCCATATCTGCTGTGTGCTGGAGTCTGGGACTGGTTGGATGAGGTCCCTCTGAGAATCAGATCATGTTACTGAGGATGAATGCTATCCAGCAAAGAGCCTGTTGATTTTCTGCCATCCACATATCCTGGAGAGATCCTGCCCTGCTCTGTGTTGCTGTGACTTTAGGTGGGGAGTTACTCCCTGAATCCTCTCTCCTTCCTCCAATTCTGTCAGTTTTTGCCAGTAAGAATGTTGGTTTGTTAGCCACGTGGCCCCACAATTCTTAATTTTGACTAATTGTAAAACCTGCCGGGGAAAAAAAAATAAATAAAAATAAAACACCTGCCGATTTGGGTGGGTTAAATGTGTTTTAAGTGGAAGAAATCAATTTTGATAGAATCTCTCAACTCTAGGAAGAATTTGAACATTCTGATAATGGAATCGAACAAAAAGCCATGTCTGTATCTGTTGCCACAAATCTCTGGAATGGGCTTTCTAGATACAGTATGATACGAGGAAACTTGTCTTCTAAATAATCTGTCTCTCTCTCTCTCTCTTTTTTGTACTGGGGATTGGACCTAGGGCTTTTGCACTGAGTTAGATCTTCTGCCCTTCTTATTTTCTGAGACAAAGTCCCTCTTAAATTGCCTGGGCTGGACTGGGACTTGGAATCCTCCCGCCTCACCCTCCCAGAGCGCTGGGATTACAGATGTAAACTACCCTGCCCAACTCTACAGAATATCTTAAAGTGTTTTATTTGAGTGAAGATACATTTTCTCCAGAATCTTAGTAGTGAAATTTGTTGTTTTGGTTTTTTTTGTCTTTTTGAGACAGGGTCTCGCTATGCAGTTCAGGCTGGCCTTGAGCTCACTTTGTAGTCCAGGCTGGTCTTGAACTCACAGTGATCCTCCTGCCTCAGCCTCCTGAGTTTTGGTATTACAGGCGTGCACCACCACGCCTGGTGAAATTTGTTTCTTTTAAAGTCTGAAATGTTTACAAATCAAGAAAAAACTTTAGATAACATTAAGATAGGGAGAAATATTGAAATGTTAATTCAATTTTTAAATTAATGCTGGTGATAATATATGTTTTAGTTCTTTTTCTCTGCCACACACAGTTTATTAAGTGAGGTGATAGTCCCGATGTAAAGAAATGAGGTGACCTGTCTCTACCAGATTGTCTCAACAAGAAGTGTGCTTTTTAATTTTATGAGTTTAGCATTGTGTTTTTACTTACTTGGCATTGGTTAATTTCATGTACCCCATGAAGTTTCAGGAGCCATGAATGGAATGGTGAGGGGGGCAAAAAATAGAAAAACACAAAACTTATATTCTATGAAGAGACCTAAGTTAATTAAATGTTAACCTGTCATATTTGGTGAGAAGGCACGAGTGTGTTGGGGTCAAGTGTCAACACTTCACTCTGATAGGAAGACCTCACCTGGTCTTGGACACACCATGACAATCTGAGTGAGCCCAGGGAAATTGTGGGTCACAAGGACTTGCAGTGAAGTCAGACTTTTCTGTTGAATCCTCCTGCAGAGGGTTTGTGGGTGCAGTTCCCCTGAGCGGTGTGATTCCCCGAGAGCCCCCTAGGAAGGCTGGCTTTTGGGAGGCTCTGACATATGCTTTACTACTTACAGCATCTGAAATCCACCAGCAGTTTCAGAATGAGCAGTTTCAGAATGAGCAGTTTCTGGGGGTGGAAAACCTGGCCAAAACATCAGAATACCTTCCTGAGGCTGTTTGACAGAGCCTCTATCATGAAGTTTTATTTTCAGTAAAAGGAGGCAATTTTCATAGTGTAGTAGGCGCCTGGCATTTCTGGGTGATGGAATGGGCTGAAAAATGGCTCCCCTGGGTTGGCAGCCTGCTGGGTTGGGCGTGGCACCCCAGGACTCTGCTAAATGTTGCAGGAGTCAGTGAGTTACTTGTTGCAAGAAAAGATTGGCCATAATCTTATTGTAAGGACTTTGTAGTTGTTTTAAAGCCTTTATACTAACCTGCGTTCAGATAAGAGTAAACATAGATGGTAATTGTAATTTTTAGCTCAAAACTCAGGGATACCTTTTTAGACAAAAATACACACACTGTGCCTGATGACCTCTGTGCTGCCTTCATGGGACGCTTCTGGTCCTGTGTTAATGCCTTGCAGTTGGGACAGCTTTATATAAAATATTTCTATCTAAACACATTCTATTCTAGATAGAAGATGGACATATATTTCCCTGGAGTTTGATCCTGATTCTCTGTCCACTGTGTTCCTGGGAAAGTGCTCTAAGTTGCTTGAAGTGACATCCCCTGAGCATGACTTTGTGCACACTTGTGTGAGTGTGTTTATTTCGTTTCTCCTGAATGGCTGAAGTGCCCACCTGTCTGCCAGAACCCTGCCTGGGCCGCCTGAGACAGAAGGGGCTCCCCTCCATGTGATCCCAGCCCTGCAGAACTGCGAGACAGTTAAATGTTTGTGCTTGGGGCCAGCCTGTCTGGCTTTGAAATCAGGCTCTGCCACTTCCTAGCTGTGTGGTTCTGGCAGGGATGTCATTTCTGTTTATTCATAGCACCTGTCTCTTAAGGTTATCAGATTTAAATGACTCAGTACACCCGAAGCACTTAGCATAGCGCATGACATCAGGGCAAATGTTAGCTTCTATTTCTCAGTACGTTGCAGTCCTGTTCAGTTAGTGCCTGTGCTCTGCTAGTGGGAGTAGTGTCTAATGTTACCCTTGAAGGCTAAAAGCTCATGGATATGAATATATTTGTCTCCTTCCTGGCACTGTACTAGACATTAGGACAGTGAGTTTCACCTAACAGGCACTGACTAAACCTCTAAGGAATTATAAGGAACATCCAGAACTTTTATTCGTATTTCCAGGTGAGGAACATATTTTTAAGTCAACTGACCTGAAAAGATTTTATGTCAGTTTATAGGAGTTTAGTTAATTTAATGAAACTGACTCCTATTTCATTGAGTTTCTGCATGACAATGTGCTGTTAATAGCTAGGCATGGTGGCACATGCCCGTAATCTCGGCGCTCCAAGCACAGCACTTGGGAGGCTGGGCCAGGAAGCCCCTGAGTTTGAGGCCAACTTGACCTACACAGGATCCTGCCTCACACCCCACCCCAATAAAAATAAAACATTTGCTGTGAAAAAGCACCATAACTGTGCTGTCCTGAAAAGTCCCGCTCTGTGTTACAGCACTTGCCTAGCATGCAGGTGGCCCTGCCTTGATTCCCCAGCACCACCCCCCCGCAAAACCTCCCATAACCAAAGTCAAATGATTGACATCAAATTTGAGGAAATACTAATGTAACATCTTAGTGTGCATCTTATGTGTTTGCTCAAAATATAAAGAGCTTTCACAAATAAGGAAATGTGCATCCTCGTTGATTAAAAGGGCACAGGTCATGAGAGGGTTCATGAAGAGGGAGGTACTGTGCCTTACTCTGGAAAGGTACAGCCTTACTGATGAGGAACAAATCAGACCTGACCCTTCTCACAGCTGCTCACCTCCCTGACTGACGGAGGGGACACAATTGCTAATTCCTTGGTTGAGTGGTAGAACTGGAGCCCTCATGCACTGTTTTGTCTTGGTTTTGAGACAGAATGTCACTATAACTTTATAGTGAACTCGGGTGATCCTCCTGCCTCGGCCTCCGGCATGCTGGTATTATAGGCATGCGCCACCATGCCCTGCTTCATCCTCTGTTGGTTGGCAGCGTGTCATTTGATATACCTTAGCAATAGCTGGCATAGTAAATGTGTGCCCTCTGTCCTACAGAGATTCTTTAAAAGAGATCCTTCTACATACCATGAAATGCCCTGTGTGTGGTGAACTGTCCCAGCTGCAAACAAGTAGAACATCTGCCAAGGAGATGGATTAAATTACGGCACAACTATATCCTGGAATACTTTGTATGTTTGTACTGATGTGGAATGACCTTCAAGGTTGGGTGTTTACTGCAAAAAGTGAAGTACAGAACATGCTAGCAGCCCTGGTTTATACAATAAAAGAACGTGTGCACAAAAGACTTTTAATTCTTCAAGGTACAGCCTCACAGGAGATTACAGAAGGAGTGCACAGAGCCCATGGACCCTTCATCCTGCCTCCCTACTGTGACAGATTACTATAGTTCACATTGTAACTAGAAAGTTGCCATTAGCATAATACTGCTGACCATATTACAGACCTACTGTTATTTTTTCCCCCTGTATTGGCCTTGAACCCAAGGATTGCTGGGCCATGTCCAGCTTTTTTTAGTTTTTTGAGACAGGGTGTCCCTGAGTTGCCCAGGCTGTCCTCTTGCTTCAACCTCCAGAGTAGCTGGGATTACACTCTTTTGTCACTAGCACTCCTTTGTTCTTATTGTGTGCAGTTGTATTTAGATGTGCATAGATTCATGTACCTGGCACCATAATCAAGATACAGAATTGTTCTGTAATACACCTTTGGCAAGATACAAAACTGGAAACAATGATTGGTGGTCTTTAAGTAGGACAAATAGAGTGGCCAGATGTGACAGGGTGAGGAAGGAGACATCCCATTTCGCTGTCATATTACAATACATTTTTAACAGTTGAGACATCTTGGTGACATCCAAGTGGAAATCTCAGAAGGGCAGAGGGTGTGTCTCCAGCTCCCTCAGAGCTGTCAAGGATGCCTGGGGAGTCGTGGGGGCCCCAGGGGGAGGTCATTAACATCCTGCCAGTGTGGGACGCCTCCAGAGGGCTCAAGTAAAGCCTCAAGAGCTCCTGCGTTTCAGAAAGACCAAGGAGATGGAGCGTGAGGCTGTGAAGGGTCTGTGGGTGGAGGCAAACCTGGCCAGGGCTTCAAGAGGAAGGGACGGGAGAGGGTTTCCAGGAGGAGTGGACACTGTCAACTGTAGCTGAGTTTGAGGGAGAGAAATGACAATTGGCTGAACTTCACAAAATTTTCCTCACTTTAGAATTGTACAGGATCCAAGGTGAACCAGGCATGGTGCACACCTGCAATCCCAGCGTTCAGGAGGCTAAGGTAGGAGGATCACTTCAAGTTTGAGACCAGCTTGGGTTACATAGTGAGTTCAAGGCCAGACTGAATGACATAGTGAAACCTTGTCTCAAAAAAAAAAAAAAAAAATTGCAGGATACAAAAATAAGATGGTGGCTTGGGGATGTGGCTCTAGAGGGCTTGCTTAGCGTTCTCTTGAGGGCTTGGGTTTGAACCCCGGCAATGCAAAAAAAAAAAAAAAAAAAACAAACCCACAAAAATAAGGTGGAAAATGTTTAAAAATTTTCTTTCTTGAAAAAAAGGAAGAGGATTTATTTTACAAATAAAACTATTCTGTAATGGAAAAAAAATCAGCACAGTGGCTGCCTGGGGTGGAGGTGGGACTGAGATCTCTTTGAGGAGGTGGGTGTTGGTCGGGATCTGGATTACAGGAGTCTCTCAGTTGTGCATTAAGGGATGCAGCTCAGTGGTGAAGCACTTGCCGAGCGCGCCTGAGGCTACAGGTTTTGATTCCTAGCACCACAAAAAAGATTTGCTCTTTTTACCTTGGAGGGGGATATTGGCAATGGTGTGTATTATGAGGTACTTCGAAATAAATTGCAATTGATGTCTGCAACTCCCTTTGACATTTGTCAAAACAATAAAATGGACTGATAGGAGGACAGCAGGATAAAGACTAGTAGATGATAAATATCAGAAAATATTAATTATAGAATATGGATAGTGTGTGGGGGCAGGGTCATTATAAAGAATGTTACTGTTTATTTGAAATTTTTCATTAAGACTTGGGGAAGCGTTAAAAGATTACCAACTGTTCCCTGATGTTATGTTCCAGAATCTTAATATGCGGATAGGAGGAATGTATTTGTTACTTCCAAAAACATCTGTATCTTATTTCCTTCTAATGATTTACTTGAGCTGTCAGCTTTTTGCCCCATGCCCTTTGTAAGAGGTCGAGGTTAGAGTTTTCTAGCAGTTTCTGAGGAAATAGCTCTAAGGCTATTAACTCCGTGGATTATCATTACTCCCTTCTTAGCCAGCAGATTTACTACAGTTGAGCCTCAGACTGAACCCTACCTACCTCAGCCTGTCAGAGCTGAGGGAGAGTGGGATTGGTCCTGGCATCCTTCTCTTACTCCGGTCTGCTATGAGCTCTGGAGTTCTGATTCTGTCAAAGTTGGTCTTTGGTGTAACTCAGTGGTAGAGCTTGTGCTTAGCATGCACAAGGCCCTGGGCTCCATCTGTAACAGCCCCAAAGAAAAAGGCCCTGGGCTCCTTCCACTGCTCCAAAGAAAAAGCAAAGAGAAATTTGTCCTGTTTTTGTTACTGTTGTTGCTGTTGTCATTTTGAGACAAGCTCTCACTGCAGTGTAGTCCCTACTGCCCTGGAACTCCACACAGTATTAACCTAGGCTGGTCTCACACTCGCCACCCTTTTGGCCTCAGCCTCCTGAGTGCTGGCACTGTGGTTGTGTACCATCATGTCTGGCTTAGTCCTGCTCTAAATGGATTGGAAAAATCTCGGGCCTTAAGTCATTTTTTCCGAGGAAGGGCTACATAGACTTTTAATTTTAATTGATTAACTTAGTACCAGCATTGGGATCGAACTCAGGACTTTGTACATGCTAGGTAAGCATGCAGCCACTGAGCCACATCCTTGGTCTTTACGTATTTTTTTCTTATTGCCTTTTATTTTATTTTATTTTTTTTTATATTTTTATTTTTTTGAGACAGGTTCTCACTATGTAGTGCAGGCTGGCCTTGAATTCACAGTGATCCACCTGCCTCAACCTCCGAAGTGCTGGATGATAGGCACGCACCACCATGCCTGGCTGTAACTTGTTACTTCACTTAATGGAGTATAGTGGATACCTTTTCACTCAGTAAATTCATGAGCTTTTTTTTGTCTTTTTGAGACAGTGTCTCACTAGGCAGTTCAGGTTGGCCTCGAACTCATTTTGTAGCCCAGGCTGGCCTCAACTCACAGCAATCCTGCTTCAGCCTCCTGAGCTGGGATTACAGGCGTGTGCCACCACACCCACCTTTTTTTTTTTTTTCTTTATTGGTGGTACTGGGGGTTGAACCTAGGATTTTCACACTGAACTATATCCACAGCTCCCTCCTCTCTTCTTAAGAGCAAGGTCCTGCCATGTAATTTAGGTTGGTCTTGAATTTTCTGTGTAGCCTTCTGCCCTTTTAAAATTTTTCTTGTTTTAAGACAGGGTCTCATCAAGTGGCTAATTGTCCAGGCTGGTCTCCTGTGAGCCTCCTGCCTCAGCCCCCCAGAAGCTGTTGTTATAGACATGTACCACCATACCCAGTTGGTGTTTTATTTTTGTTTGAAGCTATTGTGAGTGGAATTGCTTTTCTTGACTTCTTTCTCAATTCATTGCTGGTCTTCAGAAAAACTATTGATTTTTTTAATGTTGATTTTGTATCTTGTTGAGTTAATCTTTTTCTCTACATATAATCCTTCCATGAATAACTGTGCACACAAATATCAGTTTAAAAAACAAGTATCTTTCATTAGGGAAATACTCAGACATACACAAGTGGGTAGAGGTGCGCAATGAGTCCCCGCTACCCAGCTGGAATAGTTGTCTATATTTTGATATTCTTGCTCCATTTCCATCTTTCCACTCTCCTTTTTGCTCATCTATTTCAAAAGCATATTCCAGGGGGCTTGGGATTTAGCTCAGCGGCACAGCGCCTGCCTGGCAAGCGCAACGTCGTGAGTTCAATTCCCGGTTCCAGAAGAAAATAAATAAATAAATAAAAGCAAATTCCAGAAATAGTGCTGTTTTACTTCACTGTCACAGACTTTTTAAGCTTTATTTTGGAAAATTTCAAATACACCCAAAGTGGAGAGAATTGTCCAGTACTCCGTACCTTTAGTTACCAACATTCTGCTGTTGCATCTCCTGCTCTCCCTACCCCTTTTGTAGTTTGCTGGAGGGTCTGAAAGCACACGCCAGCCATCCTGTCTTTCCCCATGGAAACACTTCAATAAAGTAGCAGCTTTGAGTTACAAGATGCAACGTGGGAAGGGGGCTACAAGATGCAATGTGGGAAGGGGGCTGCTGAGGATGGAACCTAGGGCCTCACCAAGTGTGCACGAGTGCTCCACCACTAATCCACACCCCCCAGCCCAGACTGAAGGTGTTTAAAAGGGGACAGGGATTAGTGCCAGTAACCAACCTCCGTCCCACCCTCACACTTTGAAAGAGGTGAATTTATAATACAGCTACAAGTGTTAAGCAATAGTGAAATTTAAAAAATTTGAGCTACGCACTTGAAGTATAGGTGGAATTTCATTTTCTGTCACGTAGGTTCAAATACATGAGTTATGTGAGAAGATGTCTCCTTAATTTCAGGTCTCAGTTCTCAGCGAAGGGTGACTGTGCAAACCCCCCTGACCACAGCCATTTGGCAGTACCTGGAGATGTTTTTGGTTGTTAACACTTTGGGGGTGAGGCAGGGTAAAGTGCTACTGGTGTGTGGGTAGAGGCCAGAGAAGCTGCTAATGTCCTGTGCTGCACTGCACCCCCCACACCTCCCACCCCGCAGATAAGCAGTTGTTTGGCCCAGAATGCTGAGCTAGAGACTCAGGTTTAGGACATGAGCGAGCAGTGTTGTATCCCAGGCCTCTTTGTGGCTCTCTTCTAACTTGCTGGACCTGCTTGGTGTGATCAGCAAGGGTAGCACCAAGGGGACAGACACGTTGACGTTATCAGTGTGACACAGGAGGCAAGCCCTAACTGTCCAGAAAATTCCAACTGAAGTGCCTTTAGATACGGCTTTATCAGTTACATCTGCAAGGATTATCTCAGAAGTTTCTGTAACCAAACTTTTATAAGGTTTAGACTCTGCTTACAAGGAAGTCAAACTCCCTTGGAGGCAGGCGGATGTGAAAGCTTTTCTCTTCTGGGAGCGCTTCCAGAAGCAAAACAAGGCCGGGACTGTTCTAGGTGGCAGCTTCCACATGTGGATAGACAGGAAAGGAATAAAACTTGTAGCCAGAGAGGAAAGGAGAGAGGAGCAAAATGGCTTTTCACGGAGACCACTTAGGAGAGACACCCAGAATCTGCATAGCTGTTCAGCCCTAAAGAGGATGAATACCCTCTGCTCATGAGCACCAGACCACAGGGCATCCACAAGTGTCCAGTGGGTCCTGGGGACCCAGGACCCCCAGACCTAAGTTGGAGATGGGCAGACCGACAATTGTTGTAATGGGGATTCAGGAGCCCTGGCACCTGAGGTAATTTTGTACCTTGTTTCTTTCCAGATTGCTCATTTAGAAAGTGGATGTGCTGGGTAACATGTCCAGCGTGTCTGAGGAGAGAAGGAAAAGACAGCAGAGCATTAAGGAAGGACTGCAGTTCATACAGTAAGCACCGGGGAATTCATGTCCGGGTTTCTGTCACGTGGTGGAGGTTCTCTTACAGGGCCCAAACATTTTGCAGAGGTTGAGAACTCTTTAGGCACGTTTAACAGGTCCTGTTCAGTTGGGTTGCAAATGGCACGTGCTTTACTTTTCTTCCCCTGTATCCATTTTGAGTTGCCTTCTGTTCCTGAAGTGGATCCTCTTATTGATGATTTTTTAGGCTAAAACCCTTTAGTATCTCCAGAAATGTTCGACTGAAGAACTTGAGTGAAAAGTGACTAAAGCATCTGTCTGCACAGAGGGATTTTGCCATCAGACCATCCTGCTAGGAAGGGGTCAGTGACAGACCGTCCTGGGTTGGGAGGACATTCAGGACAGAGCGACCTCTTTGTTCCTTTCTGAGATGGAGACATTGTCTTCTCATTGCAGTAAATTGGATCAGATAGTGTTAGTGGTTCTGTACTATTTTTAACCTTTTTGGCATTTGAAGAATTAGGCCTTCTTTTAATAGAATTAGATTTGAAAGGAAAGTGTTGTACTTAAGAAAATACTAGGAATAGTTTAGATTTTTTCTACATGACTACAGTCACATGCCAGTAAAAGAGAAGTATTCCTTTAAAATACCTTTTCAGCCAGCAACAAGGTAATAGAATGATACTTTTAGGATGACTTCTTGCTGAACAAATTCTAGTAGGAACCTGATAATTACAGTTGATTTGTTTTTTTTCCTCTTAGGTCATCGCTGTCATATCTGGGGACCCAAGAACAATATGCGGTAATGATCCTGGGAAAGTCTGGTGAAAATTTGCCAGTGCTTGTGAGCTGTGCTCTGTGACAGGAGTTGGCAGACCCTGGCCTTGTGGGCCAGATCTGGGTGGCCTCCCTCTTTCACATGTAGTTTTATTGGAGAACAGCCACACTCAGATGTATGGCTACTCCTACGACCTATGGTAGTTGGGATAGGGACGATAGGTCTGCAAACACTGAAATAAATGTTCACTGTCCGGGCATTTGTGGAGAAAATTTGCCAACCCCTTATTCTGTAGGACAGTCTGGTTTTTTGGGGGGCAGGGGGGAGCGGTGCGCATAATTCCTTATTTTCCTTTCCTTAAGTGTTACTGGGGGGTCAAATCCAGGAGTGCTCTACCAGTAAGCTATATCCCCAGACCTTTTTATTTTATTTTGAGACAAGATCTTGCTAAGTTACCTAGACTGGCCTGAAACTTGTGATCTTCCTGCCTCAGCCTCCCACCATACCTGGCTTGTCATATATTTTCTTTCCTTTGATAATATATTTTGAATTAGTTTTTCTTTTGAACCTCTTGCAAATTACACTTGGTTTTATTGCACATAAATGGGATGGAAGTTAAGGAGATTGTGATGTGTCTTGTTTTATTTTGAGGAAAATTCCTGACAGTAAAGAGGCAATGGCTGGCAGCCAGGAAGAGATGAACTTGCTGGCAAGAGACAAGGGAGAAGCAGCACGTGGGCCGTGGGCCAGACGCTGGCCACTGGCCGCTGCTCACCTGTGGCTTCTCATCATGGAGGGTCTTGGTGCTTCTAGTTGTTCCTTCCCTTTGCCTCATGTCTTCCTTGCTCTTCCTCCCTAATCGTGAAGTTTTCAAGCAAGAACCCTTTCATGTTCCACATGTGGAACTCAGATCCACAGGGCTTAAGTGTCAAGTCACATGTCATACCAAGTAGTAATGGTTGATCTGTCCTGTTTTCTTTAATAAGATATTCAGTTTACAAGTGAATTTAGAAAATGAGGCAAAAAAGTTGAGGATATGATCTTACGATGGCAAAGAGGCATTTAAAATTTTAAAGCAATGGTAGAAATCATGAAGGAAAATTAAAAACTGTTGTACACACCAAAAGAATATGTGTACATACTTGTTAAGAAAATGATTTAGTGCGGGGCATAGTGGCACATGCCTGTAGTGCCAGGACTGTAGTCCCAGCACTCCGGAGGATGAGGAGGCAGGAGGACTGTCGTGAGTTGGAGGCCAGCCTGAACTGCATAGCGAGGCCCTGTGTCAAAAAGACAAAAAAAGAAATTCCCTTCGCCTGTTTAGCTCAGTGGCACAGCGCCTGCCTGGCAAGCGCAAGGTCGTGAGTTTAACTCCTGGTACGGGGTGGGGGGTGGGGGGACCAAAAAAAAAACGAAAAAAAAAAAGAAAGAAATTCCCTTCCCCTAAATAAGTAAAGACCCAAACAAATAATTTACAAAAGAACAAATATAAATGGCCCATAAGAATGTGGAAAAGTTCAGTCTCATTGGTAAAGATACGCAAATAAGAAAGAATACTGTTTCAGGGGCTGGGGATTTAGCTCAGCGGCAAAGTGCCTGCCTGGCAAGCGCAAGGTCATGAGTTCCGTTCCCGGTACCGGAGAAAAACCAAAAAAAGAGAGGGAAGAATACTGTTTTTCACGTACAAATTGGTAAAGAATTTACATATATATGCTCACATGCGTGCACTCACACAGACACACACACACTCGCATGCCCACATACTACCCCGTGTGTGAAGGTGCATGAAGCAAGCCACTAGGAATATTATTACCGCCTTTGAGGAAGTACAGTATTAGCCAGATTCTGACACTGAGGGCTTCTGCTTGGTGTTTATTATCCTGGGCACAGAAATGGAGATGTGAGCACATATTTACAAGGTGCTTTTGCTGTGTTTTTCTTCAGAAGCAGAGTGATTTTCTCTTGCAGAAATAAACAAGATAAGTCCTTAGCACAGGCAGCAGGGCTGCTGTTCTGTCAAATGATTTTCTCTGGAGTTTTGGGTATAATCGTTGAAATTTCTTCTGGCTTTGTCCTCTAAGAGGTAACTTTCTCTTTTTAGGTATATTTGCAGGGTCTTGTGAGAAATCTTTTTAATGAAGGAAATGATTTTTATCGGGAACATGATTGGAATAGCTCGATAAGCCAGTACACAGAAGCTTTAAGGATAGCTGATTATGCAGAGTCTGATAAAATTTCCATTCCTAAAGAAATCATTGAAAAACTATATGTAAATCGCATGGCCTGCTATTCTAATATGGTGAGTTGTGATTTTTAAAACAGTGTTTGTAGAGAAAATTTTCTTCAGTGATATAGTACATCAATAAAAAGTCATTTTCCTAATTTCACTTTTTAAGAATGCATATTAACTGCTTTTAGTGTAGCCTGAACCTTTCAAAAAATCAGTATTAGGTAAATCTTTTGGGATTTGAAAAGTACCTCTTAGTTACTGGTCCTTGCAGATTCCCATCGGAGAAAGGCTTTCGGGACTGTACCCACTGTAAAAGTCAGCCAAGTAGATACAGGTGTTTGCAGGTCAGTTATGTACCCGGTATTTGTAGTGACAGTTCTCTTGTTAGGATTCAGTTAGTCCTGTTAGAAATTTTTTTTAAAATATACAAAATAGTAATAAACACAAGCCTTTTATTTGCAATGTGAAAAGCAGTATTTGGGTGTGCTTATCATTTTTACTATGGACATTCAATAAAATTTGTCGATTTAGGAAAAGTAGTTGTCTAGTTCTTAATGTACATTCATTGATGACTTTGTTGTTTGTTAAGTAATGTATTCCTTGTCAATTAGCTGTTTGGGAGTATGTCCTATATTAATTTTTTTTTGTAATTGATCCATCACTATTGTACATATGTGTGCATACATATACACTAAATAATCTATGAATTAGGGTAATTATATTTGTTTCCTCAAACATTTATCATTTCTTTGTGGTTTAAACCTTCAAAATCCGTGAGATTATACAGTGTGTCATCATTACCTGCAGTCACCCACAGGACATGTTAATATATTCCAAGGAGGGTAGCTACAGAAGGGAGGAGAACAGGACAGAGAGCGACACTGGGGGCGTTAGCCATGTCCAGAAAGCTTTATTTCTTGGAGAGCCAGTACCATTATGGCCAGACCTTAACATTCACCTGATCAGGGTGGTAACAAACATAGACATTCATGATATTTTTTTCTACTTTGGTGTTTTGGAAATTTCATAACAAAAATAATCCTAGAAAAAGAAAAACAACCCTACCAACTTTTAAGTGGAGGATAATAAGATGGGGTCTTAAAGTTGTCTCCACTTAGAATTAGGCAGTGTAAGAAATGAACCAGGTGATTGCTAACTTACTTCTTTGGTCTCATGATCTAGGGTCTGCATGATAAAGTTTTAGAAGACTGCAATGTCGTCCTCAGTTTAAATGACAGTAACTGCAAAGCTCTCTATCGGAAATCTAAGGCTCTAAGTGATTTAGGAAGCTATGGAGAAGCTTATCTTACTGTGGCAAAATGCTCCTTAGCAATGCCTCAGGTATGCAATTTCTATTTTAATTCATTCATTATATCATAGCCATTGTATTGCTACATGTGGAGAAATGGCATAGAAAGAGTTAAATTTTCCCAGCAGGTTGGCAGCCTTCAACCTGCAGCAGTTGGGGTAATAGCTAATAAAACAAGTCTCTGGGCAGGAAATGTCATAGCTACTTTGCCTGTTTTGCCTAGTTAAAAAGAATAACCCTCCATTAATCAAGTATGTTGACTTTTTCAGGATGAACATGTAATAAAACTAACTCAAGCGCTAGCTCAGCAATTGGGACTTAAAATAAGGAAAGCATATGTTAGAGCCGAGGTAAGCCAGAGTTCTCTTAATAGGTATTTTGATTTTGTTTTAGAACTTGGAGTCAGTTCTGTTTTTAAGTTAGTGTCTTTATTTTATTTCAGCACTCACTGAAATCAGTTCCTGGGGATGGGACTACCAAGGTAAAATTTTATTTATGTAAGATTTTTACTTAAAAAGCCTTAGCAATTCTGCTTTTCATATTTTTAGTGTGTGCCTCTTTTATTCCTCAAACACATAATTGACCGTAGCCTCCTGTCGCTTTAAAAAAGAAAACAAACAACTCAACTAGTATATTTTAATACTAACCAGCATTTCCTGAAGTCAAATAGAGCATTTTACCGGATGTGAATAGATTCTCTGTTGCATTTGGAAAATGTGGTTCAGGGCCAAGTACAAGTTTTGGGAGACATTAGGACAAAAAAAAAATAACAAGTGTATTTATTTTTTAACTTTAAGCTAGGTCTTTTTGAGCATAGTTAGGATGCTCAGGACCATTGTGAGTCGGTGATCTAGCAAGTGTTTGCTAGATCAGTCCCTGGTATTTTGCTAAATATCCTTTAAGAAACTCTGGTCCACAAGAAATAAGTAGTAGAAGCTGGGTGTGGTGTTACATACCTATAATCCCAGTTACTTTGGAGGCTGAGACAGAAGGATCACTTATGATTACTAACTTCAGACTAGCCTGGGCAAACTGGTAAGATCCTTGATGCAAAGAAAAAAAAAAGTCGGGGCTGGGGATTTAGCTCAGCGGCAAAAGCACTTGCTTGGCAAGCGCAAGGTCGTGAGTTCAGTTCCCGGTACCGGAGAAAAACCAAAGAAAAAAAAAGTCATGCTGCTAGTCAAGCAAACGTTACAAAGATTTGAATATTCCTTTTATTGGTTGGATCTTAATTGGTAGAGAGTCATTACTATGCAAATCTGCACTGGTCTCTTGGGGTGAGTTTTATAGATTGCTTTATAGTTTAGAATTGTAAAAACACGGTTCATTGTTGGTTTAATTTTTAGGCTGTGGACTGTTCTGTGGAAGATATTGAACCAGGTATGTTTTCACCTACTGTCTTCACATGAAAAGTTGCAGTTTTGGACTTTGTATATCAGATAGTATTGTCAAATTGTCAAATAAGATGGCTGTGTGCTTCTCACAGCAACCATATGATTGCTTTCATATTTTCACCTAGCTTTTCCTATTCTCTGTTGGTTGTTAGTTAACACTCGTGTTGTGTAAATGCAGTGAAAAGTGAGTGAGAACATTTTCATCTGTGTTATAGATTTATTCGCTCCAAGGCAAGAAGCACTTCCTGTTCTCTCTTTACCTGTATCCAGTTTTTCTCACGATGTTGGAAGTGAGCTGGCCTCAGTTCCCACTGTGCCCTTACCTTCTATTTTGCCACTGCAAGTGGAAAACAGTGCTCTGCCATCCACAGTATTGGCAAATGGAGGGAAGATCCCCTTCACGATGCCAGAAGCTTTTCTGGATGATGGAGATATGGTCCTTGGAGAGGAAATAGATGACCTCCTTGATTCTGCACCTGAAACTAATGACAGTATTATGGTGAGTTTTAGAGTTTTGCTTTTCTTCTGAAGGCAGAGTTTTTTGTTTTTTAATTGAAATGTAACTTCTCAGACACTTGCATTATTTATACACTGAACTTTGGGCTTCTTACCTTGAAAATTATTTTTCTCCTTCTTTGGTAGAAACTGGGTAGATTGTTTTTATTCTTGAGACAAGGTTCTGTCTCATGATGTAGCCCTGGCTGACCTTGAACTCATAATCCTCGTGCTTTAGCTCCCTGAGTGCTGGGATTACAGGTGTGTACCACCACACCTGGTTAATTTCATCATTTTTGAAATAAGAACATGCTATCTAGTAGTTACCCAGTGTTTTGTTTTTTAGCCAGTTTTTCTTAGAGTACAGGGTAAACATAACATTCTAATAAGGAATAGGTATTTGACATTTAAGGAAAAATTAGTGTTTCCTGAACTTCTTCTAAATGTTTTGTTTTTGTTTTTGTTTGTTTTTCTTCCCAGGGGTCAAACTCACGGCCTTGCACTTGCCAGGCAGGCACTGTGCCACTGAGCTAAATCCTCAGCCCCCAGTTTCCTGAACTTCTTATTGCTTAAGGGTATTCTCCACTGACCATAGCCCATAAAGTACAAATCCACACACATGACCCACTGGCCATCTCTGGCCCACACTGGTTTTTGTATGATCCACAAAGGATTTTTTTATACTTTTTTTTTTCCTGCCTTTTTGAGACAGGGTCCAGCTATGCAGTTCAGGCTGGCCTTGAGCTCACTTTGTAGCCCAGGTTGGCCTCAAACTTGCAACGATCTTCTTGCCTCAGCCTCCTGAGTGCTGGGATTACAGGCATGCACCACTATGCCTGGCTTTTTTTATACATTTTTAAATGGTTAGAATAGCAAAAAGACTGTTTTGTGATATATGAAAATTACCTGAGACTCAGGGGCTGGGGATTTAGCTCAGCGGCAAAGCGCCTGCCTGGCAAGTGCAAGGTCGTGAGTTCGGTTCCCGGTACCGGAGAAAAACCAAAAAACAAAAAAAACAAACAAACAAAAAATTACCTGAGACTCAAATACAAATGTCAATAAAGTTTACTTGGAACCCAGCCACAACCATTCTTTTTATGTTACCTGTGGCTGCACTGCAGTGACAGTATTGAGTACTTGCAGCAGAACATGTGGTCTACAAAGCCAAATTATTCTTTATCTGGCCCTTTCTAGAAAAAGTTTTCTAAACCCTGACATAGAGTGTATTAAGAGAGCAGAAGCAGCAGCATTTTGATGAGATGAGAGGAAAAGATGCAGAGCTTATTTCCAGGGTCTGAGAAATAGGTGACATCCATGTGAAGTTCACTGAGGGCAGAAGTGTAGAAGGCCACAGTCGGTGGCAGTCACAGTAGGGCAGATCTAAGAGTTGCTGTACAGATCGAGTAGGTGGTTCGTGATGCTTACTTAGCATTGTGAAAGGCTCTGGAAGGCTCACAAGTCACAGTGTGAATCAGGAGGGAAAGTTAGGGCTCTGTTTGATCTTGGGAGTAGTGGGTTCGTACTCCATAGAGATGGTCCTGTCCCCTGGTCTTCCCCAGCACCCTTTCTGGATTACACCTGTTCCTTCCCACCCTGCTTCACAATTCCTTGTTTTACACAGCAAATTCTTCTATGCCTTGTCTCTGGGTGAGGACAAGGATCATAAGGAAGTTTTGCAGATAAAACAGGGATGCAACATTTGCATTAATATTATGTTAGACATTGTACCTCAATTCTTTTTAAAAACTTAAGCTTGGAAAAACAGTAGTACCTCAGTTCACAAACTTAATTCATTCCACAATTCTAGAAAAGATAGCCACGTTGGTGTTCATGTGGGAAAGATGGCCCTGGTCGTGTTCATCACCAGATGTAGAGTTTGAAAACAAGCAAAATTTTGCCACATGCTTCTGTTTTCTAAACAGATTATTCATAAACAGAAGTGTTATTTCCATAGCTAAAACTCTAATGAATTTTATTTTTTTATTCTGCTTTATTTTTTGTGATTTTTAGGGATTGAGCCCAGGACCTTCACACTGAGCTACATCCCCAGTCTACTTTTTATTTTAAGATAGGGTCTCACTAACTTGCTATATTCCTCAAGCTAGTCTCAAACTTTCAATCCCTTCTCAGCCTTCTGGAGTGCTGGGATTAAAACTTCTAATAAATCTTGACTTTTGCCTTTTTTTTTTTTTTTTTTTCTTTTGCAGTAGTAGGGAATGAACTGAGACCTCATATATGCTAGGCAAGTGCTCTACCATTAAGCTGTACCCATAGCCCTGTGAATCTTCATTTTGGTTTAAGCATTATTATATAATCACATAGTGTAGTAATTTATTTTTATATGCCAGTGTCAAAAAGCAGCGTGGCTATACTTGTGACAGGATTTTGTGAATTTTACCCCAATCTCTTTTCTTCTCCAGCCAACAGCTCTAGCCCGAGCGCCCCTCCCAGCATCCAGTGTTGCTCCTAGCTTGCCCTTCTCAACGCCTCTGCTCGGAGCCTTGCCCATTGGTGCGCGGTATGCTCCTCCGTCCTTTGCAGAGCTGTATCCGCCTTTGACCTCATCTTTAGAAGATTTTTGTTCTTCTCTAAATTCATTTTCAATGAATGAACCCAAACAAGGTAAGAATCTAGCCTAAATTGTGAAATTTATGGTTAACTTTCTAAAAATGAAAACTCATGTCTGGCAATTATTTAATTAACTCTAGGTCTAGGTACTTGAATTATTTTCATAGTAGCTAAAAATGTAAAGACTAAACCTTCAGTTTTGAATTCCCCTTAACTACCCTTTTGATAGCAAGGAGCAAAGACACAAGTGTAGACATGTACGTGGCACTGGTTTTTGTATAGGATGGTTTGTTAAGCTGGGTGTTCATTGTTCCGGGGTAAAATGACTTTGAACATATTCTTTAATAAAGGTGTATCCCATCTTAATGAGTCTGAAACACATGCTGTCTTTTTAAATTCTAAACTGGGAAAACACTCACTTAAATCTGTATTTAGAGTAGTAACAATTAGATCTACTTAGGGTATTATATGGAGCTCTGTATGCTGGGCCTAATGCCTTTATTTTATAAGTGAGTGTTGAGGTTTTGGTTGACTCCTATTTCAATAATCCAAGGTTTAATACATAAACAGCAATAATAAAAATCTTCATACTTTTCTGAGACACTGTTAACATGATTTAAAGATTTACAGCTCAAGAAACTATGCATGAGACAGAAAGGCAGACAGGAAATAATTTTGCAGTAGACTTAGAAGCTGAGTTCCTGCTTCATGTCCTCAAAGAGAGGCTCTTTACTCATTCTGAGGGCCCTGTCTATGAAAATAGGTTTTTACTTAAATTTGTTTGACTAAGGGTTATTTACGCCCTTGGTTTCTGGAAGGAAGAAAAAACTCCTTGAGTGCAATGAGCAAGAAAGCTTCTAGGAGTTGGGACGGGAATAGAAGGTGGGGACGCCATAGCCAGTCAGCTGCTGAGCCCTGATGTTCTTTTTACATGATTAGAATGAAAAGGTCTGTTGAAGTTTTTTTATTATTTTAGATCTGTCCACCTCAACTTCTAGAGAGGGAACAACGCTTAACAACAGTAATTCTTCCCTTTCACTTGTAAGTGCCACTTCCTCTTTTGTAAATGCATTGCTTAAATTGAACATAGGCCTTGTACTTAAGTAACTGGATTATATGAATGAACATGACATTCTCCCTTAAATTTTATATGTGCTGTGGGAAATAGTATTATGTGACTCTTCTGGAACATCCAGTAATAAATGCTCTGCATTTAAGACTGGATCCGTCATAGCAAATTAATCACTGTTACAAACAGTGTAAGAGGCTTTAGCACAGCATAAACAAATCAAGGAAATGTAAAACCAGGGCATGTAAGATGTGCGTACCATTGAAGCAGACAATTTCTTGTTATTTTTTTATAGCTCATAGAGGATCAAAATAAGGGGGCCTAGAAAGGACAATATAGGGAGAAATAGTTTTGAATATAGGAGAGCAAAAAGGATAGAACATTACTGACATCTCACTTTTCAGATGAACTCAGTTTCCTTTGTTAGTGATAGTATAATATTTGTTGCCTGTTTTTCTTTTGTTTGTTTGTTTTGTTTTTTTTGTTTTTTTTTGTTTTTTCTTATTATTTTTCTTGCAGATGAACAGACCAAGTAGTTTGTTTACTTTTGATGGCTTCCTGGGAATTTCAAGTCAGCCTAGAAATGACTTTGACTTTGGAAAATTTTTTGGAAGTACAATTACTAAACCATCTGTATCAGTGACTCCAAGACATCCCCTTGAAGGAACCCATGAATTAAGACCAGCTTGCCAAATCTGTTTTGTAAAATCAGGTGAGGACCAAACCATCAGGCAGAGTATCAAACTAACTTGATACTAAAAGTTGTTAGGCTATAAACAATTTGAATTTTGAAGAAGCAGAGTTTAATGACTCAGGGCATTTGAAGTCTGATAAATTGCTGCTCTTATTTGATATAATTTTATTTCTAGAATGCTGTGGAATCAGATGTATACCTGATCTTGGAAACTTACTGCAGTTATTATTTGTTTAAGGACTTGATATTTTTCAAATAGAATAGTTTTCAAACTTTCAAAACAAGCATTAAAAAAAAACAACAAGCATTAGCAGACCAATATGTGCTTCAGTGTTTATGAAAATTAAAGTATTTTCTCTTGATTTGCTTTGAATGAAAAGATATAAACACTTTATTCTGACCTAGACCCAACTTTATTTTTTTTCTTTGTTGTCCTTACTTGAGATTCTAGAACCAGACAGTCTGGCCCCAAAATAGTTCACAATGCTGCCTGTTCATTACTTGTATAAATTATCTGAATTCTTAGCCAGATTATTTCCCTAATAGTTAGATAGGGATATGTTTTGGTAAGACTGAGGTTCAGTAGAATTTCATGTTGCCTAACAAATAGCATAAAATTTTAAAATTTGCCTGTTTACAGTATGATGAGATTTTGGAGGGTATGTTAATCAATGTTTGTCTGCTTCTGAGTTACCTATAAATTGAAATGATTTTTTTTGTGTGCATATCAGTAAACTTCTTTACATCTTTTTCAGGCCCTAAATTAATGGATTTCACATACCATGCTAATACAGATCATAAATGTAAGAAGGATATTTTAATTGGTAGGATAAAGAACGTTGAAGATAAATCATGGAAAAAAATACGCCCAAGACCAACAAAAACAAATTATGAAGGACCATATTATATATGTAAAGGTATATATTATAATTACATAATTGGTACATATTACATAAGTAATAAACTATTTGCTACATTTATTATAAAGGCTTCAGTATTGACTATTACTAAAAATAGCAAATTCCTTGGATTGAGGCATTAGTACTTTTTCTGTTGTTTTTAAACTGTTTATTCATATTTTTGTTTAGTACTGGGCTGAACACAGAGCCTTCAAATACTGAACTACCCCTCCCCACCCCATATTTTTTAGATAGGGTCACACTAAGTTGCTGAGTTGCCCAGACTAGGCTTGAATTTGTGATCTTTGTGCCTCCAGAGTCCTGGGATTACAGGCTTATACCACCATGCCTGGCTGTCGTAACATCTTGTGTGTGTTTTATAGTTGTTTATGGAAACCAAGCTTTGACCAAGTTTTAAACAGAAAGCTCTCAGACTTTCAGATTTTGTCTGTACAGTACCAAAACCCTGAACTGAGGCTTTGAATATGCTGCTGTGTTTAACACACTTTTGCGAGAACATGGTGCTTTCATTTTTGCCACAGCGCTTCATCTGAGTGAGCTTTGAATAGCCCTAAAGTGATCTTTTAACCTTAACTATATGGAATATATGAGAATATTGAGGCATTTACTCCTATCTGTAATAAACCCACTTAGGCTTAAAGACTCAGTCTCATCCCTAAATAGTAAAATCATAACTTAATGCTGTTTATGAACTCCTAAAAATTTAAACATCTAAGTGCTATTAATGTTCATTGGCTTCAAGAAGACAGTTGCTGTTAAATCTCTCTTCATGTCCTGTCTTTCTAGATGTTGCTGCGGAGGAGGAATGTAAATATTCAGGCCACTGCACATTTGCTTATTGCCAAGAAGAGATAGATGTCTGGACGCTGGAAAGGAAAGGAGCATTCAGTCGTGAAGCTTTCTTCGGAGGCAACGGGAAGATCAACCTTACTGTGCTGAAACTTCTCCAAGAGCATGTTGGAGAATTTATATTCCTTTGTGAGGTGCTTGTCTGAAACTTATTTTCTGCTTTATACTTACTGCTAGTGCTGGGAGGATGGCTCAGTGGTAGAGTGTTTGCCTACCATGAGCAACACTCAGGGTTTGATCCATGGCACCGCCGAAAACTAGTGATAGTTCTGACTTGTAAGCCCAGTAGTATTTCTAAAGTATTCAGGGGATCCTCCTTGTGATAAGGCCTTCACTCAGTGAATGGTAGCTATTACTATTAGAATAGTAAATAGTAAGGCTTCATGTTGAATATTAATTGGTGCAAGTATAAAGTGCATAAAGTTTGTAAAGATGGAGGTTTGTAAAGATGGAAGGCCAAAATTCAGAGTTTATATTTGTTTACATTTGTTTCGCTAATAATCATTCTTCTCTCTCTATTCCAGAGATGTTTTGATCATAAACCTAGAATGATTAGTAAAAAAAATAAAGATTCTACTGCTTGTTCGCACCCAGTTACAAAGCATGAGTTTGAAGACAATAAGTACGTTGGTGGCTTCTGATTTTCCTAGTGATAAGATAGATTTTTTTCTTAGATCTAAATAAAACCAGTCATGGTATCTGCTCCGACTTTACCCCCAACTCTTCTATTGTTCTCTTTCTTTGTTTCAGACAGGGTCTCACTATGTAGTTCAGTCTGGCTTTGAACTCACTATGTATAGCCCAGGCTTTCCTTGAACTCACACCAGCCTCCTGCCGCAGCCTTTCTGGAGTTGGGATTGTAGGCATGTACTACTGTACCCAGCTTCTTTGTTTTCAAGAATAATAACTTTTAAAATGTTTTTTAGTAGTTTTGGCTGGGGATTAAGTAATATATTAATGAGCTGTATTATTTAATACAGAAAAGCATTATTGATTTTTAGCTTCCCATAACATAGATTTAAATATTTTATGTTTTTTTGGTTTAAAATATAATGATCCTTCCTATTGGTCCAGTAATTGCATGCACTGATTTAGTTTTTAGGGCAAAGACTTTTTTCTGGTAAAGATTTAAAATGGATTCCATCTTGAACTTGACTTTATGTGTGTATGTGTTTGTGCAAGTGTATGTGTGTGAACATTTTTTTTAAGACAAGGCAGAACAGTATTAAAATTCACTCCCTTTCATCTTAGGTGCCTTGTCCACATTTTGCGAGAGACATCAGTAAAATACTCCAAAATACGTCCTTTTCATAGTCAGTGTCAGCTTGATTTGTGTCGGCATGAAGTTCGCTATGGCTGTTCAAGGGAAGATGAGTGCTTTTATGCCCACAGTCTTGTGGAGCTGAAAGTGTGGATAATGCAGAATGATACAGGTAGGTCTGTGTGTACCTGAGAGCTCTGTCTCTGCCAGAGCAGCCAGGGTGATGGGACCCTGTCCTCTCATCAGCCACATGGGGAAACTCTTGATTTTATCCTGAGCTTTCAACTTTGAAGCCACCTTCTGTCTTCAGAGTTGCCTGTATTATGTGTGGTCTCATGTAATTAATTGTTGATACAAGTTCAGGTAGCTTGGTTTTGGGCCGGGGGGTATTGCTCAAAAGGCACAAAGAGATATATTTGCAATTCCATTTTGAAAAATTGTAATGTGCTGGCCATGGTGGCACATACCTGTAATCCCAGAACTCTGGAGGCTGAGGCAGGAGACTCACTGCAAGTTGGAGGCCAGCCTGGGCTACATAGTGAGTTCAAGGTGAGCCTGAATGACATAGCAAGACCCTGTCTTTTTTTTTTTCAAGAGTTCTTTTACCTCGGAACAGCTTCATTCTTGTTTTGTTTTTCTTTTTTTTTTTTTTTTGTGATAAGGGGAATCAAACTCAGGGCCATGTGCTTGCTTGCCAGGCAGGCACTGCGCCACTGAGCTACATCCCTGGCTCAAGACCCTGTCTCAAAACACCAAAAAAAGCATAGTGTGATATTCTTGCTTGGTGATGGATCAGGCTACCTGAGAGTAATTGGGGGTTAAGAGGGTTCTGCAAGTCTGACTGCAACCAGATTGACGGACTAGTATTATGTGTAGAATTTAAAGAAGGCTTGTATATTTCCCAGGTATTTTACATGATGCTATTGCTCAAGAATCTAAACAGTACTGGCAAAATTTGGAGGCAAATGTACCAGGAACTCAGGTATTTTCGCTGTGTACTTTCTGCGTTGTATATCTTTCTGGAATTGCCTCACGGATATTGGTTAATGGCAGATGCAGTTTATACTTACAGTTCAGTTACTTCATGTTTGTTCAGTTGAGTAATTCTTAGGTGAAAAAATTTGCATTTTAGTTTATCATCATAAAGCAATTAGGCAGCCCATCATATCTGCAAAAAATATAGGAACTGTTTTCTCATTTAACTTAATTGGCAAAATGGTGTTTTGGGCTTCGAGGATTCTTGGTATAAGAGAGACAGATTATGTTTGCAGTTTTGTTTCCCACCTGGCATAACTTGTTTGCCCATTTTTCTTCCCCTACATTCTTGCAAAAAACAATTCCAAAAAAAAAAAAAAAAATTCCAGTTATCACTTCCAAAGCTGACATTTGTGAATTGAAGCTTGGTATCTATAATCTGCTTTTACCATATTCTCCTGCGTATGAGGGAGGGGTGAATTGGAGATTTAATTAGCAGAGCAGAATATAATGGTCAAGTCATTGAACCAGACAAAAACAGGAAATTGCATGCTATTATGAAGATAAAATGTATGTTTTAATATTTTGTTTCCAGAAAACTTTGTTATAATTTCTCTTTTAATTCTTTAAGGTGCTTAGCAATCTAATAATGCCTGGATCTCTTAATATGAAGATAAAATTTGTGTGTGCTCAGTGTCTGAGAAATGGTCAAGTCATTGAACCAGACCAAAACAGAAAATATTGTAGTGCAAAAAAAGAAAAGCATTTGTAAGTATTTTGTATGTGTAAAAATAATGCCTACTTTGTAATTATCTGCTTCATAGGTATAAAATCATGGAAGAAAAAAGATTAGGCTTTGAAGAGAGAACAGTAGATAATTCAGGTGTGATTACAAAACAAAAGGGAAGAGATTTTTTTAGGATTGAATAGTTAAGAATTCATAAGTAGTGTTTTTCCTATGTTAATTTGTTTAGGATTCATAGGGAATGTTTGTAAATGTCAACAGGAAGTGAAATTATAGAATCATAAGGCATTTCTTTTAGAAATGTTGAGGGAAAAAACTCTCTGGTCCTACAGGTACAGACTTTGTACCTCTCCCTTTAAATTTTGCCTTTTGCCAGTGTCTCTTTGTTTTTTCTGAACTCCATTTTTCTTAGGTGGACCAAAGATCGTCGTGCGATGAGAGTGATGTCTCTTGAACGTATGAAGTGGATGAACATCCGTCCTCTCCCCACAAAGAAACAAATGCCTTTACAGTTTGATGTACATACGTAATTTTTAAGCCAATTTTTTTAAAATTAGGCATTTCAAATCATTAGAAAGTAGTAGTAATTCACATTGAAACTCAAGCCTCTTAAATAATGCTCACCAGTAATAAGAAATTTTAATGGTTCCTCTTTTAAAAGTTTTCCTTCCCTTTAGTATGTGTATGATTCTGTAACTTTTCATGTTCATTAAAATTTTACTTGGAAAAAGTAAACATAATGGAACTGAGAAAAAGTATGGGCGTGATTTAATTTCTTTTTTCAAGTAAGTTACCTTTGGGAGAGAATGAAAATTTCATTTAATTTTGATTCCTCAGGTTTGATATCAAACCCAAGGCCTTCTGTGTTATGAATGTTGTTGGTGTTATGAATGTTGTTTGCTCTTACTGTAGCTTGTTTGCAAGGGATATGAATGAGCTATAAGATGTGCAACATTATAGGACTTTGTAGAAGTAACTCAGAAAACAGTGCTCATTGCCAGAGGAACATGTTCCTCCAAACCCTTTCACGTGGTGCCAGGTTTCATCTCGATAGCTTAGAAATGCTTGTGCAGTTGGGCTTCTTGCATTGTCTCTCAGCTCTCCTCTTCCCGAGAGAGAGGGTTTGGGGAAAGTTTAGAGGTGTTTTTCTGTGTGCTCTAAGAGACAGGGACAAGTAGACCATTGCCAGGAAGTAAACTTGCTGCCTGCATGGAAGGATTACGCAGAGAACCTTTTGGCCAGAGCAGTAGGGGTGATGGATTCAGAATTCCCTTGTGAATGGTGCTGCCCTGCAATTGCCAGGAAGGCTGGGAAGGAGATCAATGCATTTGTCATCAGTCAGAATACCTTGCAGTCTTGTACAGCAGGCCAACAGGTTAGGTCAGTCCTTGTAAGGTGGTAGTGTGTTTGTGTTTTTTCAGTGTTATTGTTCTCAGATTAGTCAGTGGGTTTTGTAGGAAAGGGAAAGAGTTTCACAGGAACCGTGATATCTTGCACTTTGAAAGATAAGGGCGATAATGTACGTATCACGAGCTTGTTTTAAGTGAGGATTCTAGTTCATGAGGCAGCTGCCTTGCGCTCAGTCTTTAATCTGTAACGTGCTGTAATACTATGCAATGCTACGGCAGTTTATTTCCTCTTTTTCCCACTACCATACTAGATGTTGCTGAGGGCCCTTTCTCGGGGGGAAGAAATAATATTGTGTGCAGAAAGTGTGGTGAGCTAGAAAGAGAATGGGCCTCAGAGTGGGCCACAAGACCCTAGTTGAGTTACTTGACCTCAGTTTGCTCATCTGTAAATGGGAATAATTAGATTTTAGGGAAGATTACATGTGATAGTAATCTGTAAAAGCCCAGCACAGTGCCCCACCTTCTCCTTTATGCTTCTCCTTTCTTGTTATCATTGACCTTTGAATTATGGTAAATGTTGCCCTAGTAATATAACTAAGTACCTGTGAAATTTGCCTTGGAAAAGAACACAATAAAGTCTGTGACAGGACTGCTGCATTGGCTGCTCCCTTCATGCAGATGATTTTTCAGGGTGGGGTTGCTGCCTTTGGTCCAAGAGAGGAAATGTGCAGTAGTGAGGACTGATTGCTTTTAGAGTTGTGCAAAAACAGATGGTCAGCATTTGAATCACGTAGCTAAGTAGGGTATAGGGCCAGCTCCTGAGTACAAAGTATGATAAGCTGATAATTAGTGGTACTTGGGTTTGTTCTGTGTAAAGATGAGTAGATTGATAATGCTTAAGAATGAGCTGTCTTGGTAAGGGTGGTTTTCTTGGTTCCGTATAGCCATGGTTCTTAGAGAAGTCGGTGGTCTGCTGATAACTACTACTTTATTTTCTTACCAGTATCACCATTGCGTGTTCTGAGTATGTGAGCTTGTCAACATTTCTTTTGTTAAATAAACGTACAGATAATCAGAGGAGGTATTATTTGAAAGCTCTGTAGCGGCGTAATAATTGTCTTCAGAGATTGTGTATCTAGTGCATTGTGACCAAAGTTAGCTACCAGGGTGGTTATCCGTAAGTTAAGTTTCTGAAATGTCCTGGCGCTATTCTGTAAGCTGAGCAGACTGCAGCTTCTTCACTGCTCCCCAAGCGATGATGGGCGGGATGGGGGCAGCAGGAGCTACCAGATGGACAGGCCAGAGATTTTTATTCCAAGGATTAGATGTTCTGAATATGTGAGCTTGTCCACATTTTCTTGTAAGGAAATAACTCTATACTCTAACTCTACATACTTCCCTTTCTTTTTAAAATTTTCTTTTGAAAATCTTTGAGATAGAAATGTTTATTAGTATCACCTCAGATATTTTGGGCTTACAGTTGCTTTGTATAGAAGCAGATTAACCTTATTTTTAAATTTTATTGGTAGGCAGTAGCACTGGTAATAAGGCCTATTTTGCTTAAATGTAAAAACTAGTGTTACTAAGTGCGTTCTGACTTAAGGCATATTTTCTTTCTTTCTTTGTTTTAACGTACAGCTGTGCAACCATATTGCCTCTGGGAAAAAATGTCAGTATGTTGGGAACTGCTCCTTTGCTCACAGTCCTGAGGAGCGAGAGGTGTGGACTTACATGAAGGACAATGGAAGTAAGTCAGTGCGTTCTGTGTCCTTAGCATCTGGGAAGGGGCTGGGGATTTAGCTCAGCGGCAAAGCGCCTGCCTGGCAAGCGCAAGGTCGTGAGTTCAGTTCCCGGTACTGGAGAAAAAAAAAAAAAAAAAAAAAAAAAGAGCTTAGCATCTGGGAAGTCTGGCTCTCCTGAAAGTCCTTTTCTCTCTATAAAGATGCCAGCTTCTTGTGAACGCAGGAAGCATTTTGCATTCTACACAGTTACAACCTGTTTCATCAGTGACTCTGTTGTTGGCGGTGGCTAGGAAACGTGACCACAGCCTCAGTGGAGCGGAATCTAACTTCTGATATGTTTTTGGTTAGGCTGGCTTTCAATACGAATATGTAGGTCTGCATCCTTTGAGGCAATAGTTATGTTCCTGAAAAATGATCTGGGGAAGTTCAGTTTTGCCCTGAGTTGTTTTTTTGTGTTTTGGGGTTTTTTTTGTCTTTTTGAGGCAGGGTCTCACTATGCAGCTCAGGCTGGCCTTGAGCTCACTTTGTAGACCAGGCCGGCCTTGAACTCAAAATGATCTCCTGCCTCAGCCTCTCAAGTACTGGGACTACAGGCATGTGTCATCACATCTGGCTTTTTTTTTTTTTTTTGCCCTGAGTTTTTAAACTGCGTAGTCCCCTCCTGTGGTGACGAGTCACCCTCTCACCACCCTGGTAGAGGGAGGGTTTCTTCGGGGAATCCTTACTTGTAGAACAAGGCCGGATTCAGAGGCCCAGGGAGAAAATGTTTATCTTGGTTAAGTTTCAAGTTTATTGTGGAGCCTTTGAAAGGAGCCTCAGACCACCTTTCACTTTTGACCGTAAAATGTTTTGCTACAAGGATAAGTGTTCTTTAGTCTTAAATAAACCAGTGGAATATATGAGTACCAACTGTCGTCTCTGGATTGAAAGGCTCAGCCAGATTTAAGTGTCTCATCTGCCCTGCAACTTGTGTGGAAGGGACTCCCTCTAGCTGTCTTTCTTAGTATAAGGACATATACTGGGCCCTCCTGTGGGTCACCTTATTTACCAGAACCTGCTACTGCTGGTCTTTAAGGAAAAGAATTTCTGGTTTATCTGTGATGTGAGCCTGGTGATCTACTGTTCAAAACCTCCAGGAAGACAATAAGCACACATTTTGACCAGATCTTCATTACCAGAGTTCTTAATGCAGTGTTTCTCAGCTAGGGGCAAATGTTGTCACACAGCCTCCTTCCCCTGTGGGCACCTGGCAAGGTCTGGAAACGTTTTCATGGCCATGACTGGGAACAGCATACTGCTGGCTTCAAGTGGGAAGAGCCTGGGGTGTTGCTAAGCATCACAATGTGTAGGACACTGCCAGCAGCAAACAGCTATCTGGGCAGCACGTCAGCAGTACTCAGGGTGAGAAACCCTGGGTCTTGTACTTGGTAGTAATGCAGAACATACCTGTTCTCACCATAGGAAGCAACTGGCAGCCACTTCCTGGGATCTGGTCCAGTGGTACTGCTGTAATTGTACCCCAGCATCTTGGTTCCCTAGGGCTGAGGCTTGATGGTTGGGCTCCCATCGTATCACAGTCTTGGCCCAGGAGTAGGTTGTTTCTCAACTTCCTCATTGAACAGTGTAGCAGCTCTGAGCCCCCCGAGCCATGTGAGCGGCCTTGTGTGGTCATGGCACTGACAGTGAGTTGTGTAACACAGGGTGACAGGAAGGCGGTGCTGGGGCTTCTTTGGCATTTCCCTCTGGGTGGTTCTGAGTTTTACTCATAGTGTCTTATAACACAGGGAGGAGTTAATTAATTTTGAAAACTAATGTTTATGTCTAACAGACCTGAAATTGATTCTTCCACATGAGTTTATCAGCTCCCCTAACTGGACTGGCTCCCCGTGCCTGAGGCCCCTCACATGTGTTTTGAAAATGTACTCCGCCTGATACAGAAAGTGTGCATGAGTATGCATGTGTTCAAACAGCATTTTATTACTGCTGCTGATAGCAGTTCATCTTTCTTTAGTACAAGATATGGAACAATTTTATGAACTTTGGCTAAAGAGTCAGAAGAATGAAAAAAGTGATGATGTACTCAGTCAGTCAAACAAGGAAAATGGAAAACAAATTCACATGCCAACAGATTATGCCGAAGTGACTGTAAGTTCCATTGGCCATTTCTCTTTTCCTTTGCTTGGAGCCCTCAGTGGGAGGCTTTCCTTTCCCATTCTCCAAATCCTGGCTCTGTCAGCTGCTGCCTGCCCTCTGGGGTCATCCTCTTTTCTCTTGGGTGGTTTTCTGCCACTAGCTTCAGTCTTCTCATGCCCAGACACCCTTACCTTGACCCTTTCTCAACCGTGAGTCCAAGGCCGGGGTCCTCCTTATCAGGTGGGGTTGTCATGATGGCAAGTGAAATGTAATGAGTATATGACACTTACTGAGTGCTTGGCTATAAATAGGACCCAGAAAGTTTATGCTGTCTGGTCCCTACTCGCAGTCCTTTTAAAATTTTTATTTTGAGACAGGCTCTTCCTAAGTTGCTAAATTGTCCAGGCTGGGTTCAAATTTGTGATCTTCCTAGGGTTTTTTTTTGTTTGTTTCTTTGGTTTGTTTGAAATAGGGTCTTGCTGTGTAATTTACACTGGCCTTGAACTTGCTTATGTAGCCCAGGCTAGCCTCAAACTCATGGTGATCCTCCTGCCTCAGCCTCCTGAGTGCTGGAATTACAGGCGTGCACCCTTACCCCTAGGCTTTTTTTAAATGTACATTCATAAATGCATGTGTTGTTCTGCTATGTGTTTCTTTTGTGGAGGGTCTAGTGTTTTATTTTTTTCAACTTTTATTTTTTATCAGTATATGTTTGCAGTACACAATAATTACGTTTCTCATGGGGAGTTGGTACATGTACATATCTTTTTTTATTTTTTTGTTACTGGGAATCGATCTCAGGACTTTGTGCTTGCCAGGCAGGTGCCGTGCTGCTGAACAGTATACCCAGCCCACGTAATGCATCTTAATTCCATTTTCAACTTCTCCCCTTCTCTTCTTTCCCCCTCCGTCTCTTAGTCCTCTTCCCTTTTGCAAAAGCTCTATCTCCTTATTTCCTATTACCTTTTATTTTGCTCTTTATTTATACTTGGGTTTCTTATATAAGAGAAACTATGTGATATTTAACCTTGTGTGTCTTATTTATTTCCCTTAACATTATCATTTCAAGGTGCATCCCACAAAAGACTCAAGTTTATCTTTCTTTATGGCAGAGCTGTATTCCATTGTGTGTAAATACCACATTTCCTTTACCCATTCATCTGCTGATGAACATGTAGGTCAATTCTAAGACTTAGCTATTGTAAATTGTGCTGCTGTCAACATGGGTGTGCATGTATCGCTGTAATATGGTGTCTGTAACTCTTTCAGAAAGATCCCTAGAAGGGGAGTTGCTAGATTGAATGGTGCTGCTTGTTTCTTGTATGTTTTGTCGCACCTCTGCATCTTGACTTACAAGTCAGACTTACACAGGGCTTATGTATGGCTCACTTTTTCTGGTGCGTCTTTCTACCCAGGGTAGTTGGGAAATGCTACCCAAACACTTAAAAGTTTGCATCTGCCATAGCGTTTAAATCCCACCTTTTGAGGCAGTGTGTTCCCTGCAGAGCCAGCTTCTTCTTTTACTTACTTTTTGTTGTCGGTATTTTGACACAGGGTCTTGCTATGTGTTCCGGGCTGGCCTTGAACTCACTGTGCAGCTCAGGCTGGCCTGGAACTTGCTGCAGTCCTCTTGCCTCAGGCTTCCAAGGGCTGGGTTTACAGGAATGCGCGCACGTATCCAGATGAAGTCCAGCTTCTTCCTTCCCTGGTGCCTGGCCCATCTTTGGGGCTCAGCTCATGAGCCTCGCATGGAGTTGGTGCGTGTCTTTCCAGAGTTGCACACTCTGACCTTTCACACCCTCCCTCTTTTTCCTGGTGGAGTTCATTATTCCTGGAGTCCTTAGTTGAACCTGCTGCCTGCCTGCCCCATAAACATCCTTGTCAGGACACCAGCTCCTGTGGCCTGCTTGCTGAGGAATTCCCGGATGCTTAGCTAGATTTGTTCCCCTCCTCTGCTGTGTTGGCTTTTTTCCCCACTCTGTGGACCTTCCCTTCATTTTACTTTTTCACTTTTATGTCCTTACTTGGCTCCCTGAGAATAGATAGAATCTGGCTCTTAGAGCCAGTGGCATCTGCCCTTTAAGATGGCCTGAACACATTGATAATTTCCTACCATTTTGTCTGTAATTTGCTAAGTCCCCCCTATTATTATGTTATCCTTCTTTTATTCTTTAAAATAAATAAATAAATAAATAAATAAATAAAAAGATGGCCTGAACAGTGACCAAGCACTCAGACACTACCACTGACAGGCCACATGTCTTCACCACGCCAGGCGGATTTTCACTGCTGGATGTGCGGGAAGAACTGTAATAGTGAGAAGCAGTGGCAAGGCCACATCTCTTCAGAGAAGCACAAGGAGAAGTTTTTCCATACTGAAGACGACCAGTACTGCTGGCAACACCGCTTCCCAACCGGGTATTTTAGTATTTGTGAGAGGTATGTAGGTTTGTACGGTTTTTCTGCACAAAAATGGCTGATTTTTGTTAACTTGCATGGGCACCATGTCAGTAGACAGAGGACCTCTGTTGTGGTAGAGTCTTCTGGTAGGCCTGGGTCTTGATGGACCCTGGCAGGACATTTGGGTGTTGCCTCAAGGTGTTCAGTTGCTCATTGAAGACTCGTCATGCTTCTGAGGTTACATGGCAAGAGTCAGTGGCCTTCTGAGCCTGGCTCGGCCCCTGTCTGGGTAACTGAATAGAGAAAGAAGTGTGTTCGTTCAGTTTTCCCCTCATGATTTTTGCATTCTCACCTGTGGTTCTCTTAACTCGTTGCCACAGCCTTTGTGCAAAATGGATATGCATCCAACTTCGGATGGCTTTTAAGTTATATTTCAAGGGCAAATCTAGAACTCATATCAAAGAAAAATGGTAGCTTAATAATGTCACTCTTGTTTTCTTAGAAAATATTTCAATGAAAACTGGATAATGTGGAATTACTCTTCATTTTATAAATACATTTCATTCCAAATTTAGAGCCATGGATCCTTAAAACCACTGAAAACATTTTTTATTTAATGTCATTTCTGATGTCATTCTGCTGCATTAATAATGACTGCAGTCTCTTTTTCCCCACCAGGGAGTAAGTTTTTGCTTTTTTTGGTGTTGGAGATCAAACCCAGGGCTCCATGCACATAGGCAAATGCTCTACACTGAACTTCACCGAGCCCCAGTCAGTACTTTTCAGTGAATACATTTAAATAGTTTAAAGTCCTAATTCCTCTTTTGTCAGTGTCATGCCTATAAAATATTCATTTTTAAAGGCTTAAGATTCCTTCAGGGCATGGTGGTTCACGCCTATAATCACAGTACTTGAGAGGCTGAGGCAGGAGAATCACTGCAAGTTCAAGGCCAGCGTGGGCTACATAGAGAGTTCAAGGCCATCCTGAACTACATAGTGAGATCTTGTCTCAAGAAAAAAAGATTCCTAACCAGGCCTCATGACCTGCTGAGTAGTTGTGAAGCCCGAGTTCAATCTCTAACACCAAAAAGGAAAGAAGTTTTTTTTTTTTTGGTCTTTTTGAGATGGTCTCACTGTGCAGTTGAGGCTGGCCTTGAGCTCACTTTGTAGCCCAGGCTTGTCTCGAACTTGCAATGATCCTCCTCCTGTCTCAGCCACTGGAGTGCTGGGATTACAGCCATGCACCACCCCGCCTGGCAAAGAAAGAAGATTTTTAGATAAAAGTTATGTGTAATTCACAAAGCCAGTGAAGGATATTTTCAAGAATTGCAGCACAGTTTTTGTAAGTGACTGTACCAGGCCATTGTCTCCTCACAGGTATATGAATGGAGTCTGCACCGAAGGAAGCAGCTGTAAATTTGCACATGGAAATGCTGAGCTCCATGAATGGGAAGAAAGAAGAAATGCCCTAAAAATGAAGCTCAGCAAAGCACGAAAAGATCACTTAATTGCCCCAAATGATAATGACTTTGGAAAATATAGTTTTTTGTTTAAAGATTTAAACTAATATTCTGGCTTTTATGTAACCCAATCAGAGCATTGACCATGAAAATTGAAAGTGTTCTGAGGCACATAGCAGAGGAGCTCCAGGCTTTCTGCTAGTATTGGCACACATCGTTCCTCCTGAGCAGCACCCAGTAGGTAGGAAAACGGGCTGGTTAGCAGGTCTGGCTAAGCTCTCATGGAGCCATTGGCCTCAAATGGCGAAGTGACTACTGCCTGGTTGCCATCTGTTGAACAGATTTTTGGATGAAGTGTTGGGGAAGAGGATGAAGTTATGTCTAGGGCAGCTCTTTGAGTTGGTCCTTCAAGTAAGAACCATGATGATCAGAGAATGAACACTTGTACTGGGGTCAGAATACATGACAGATGAAATCTTTACGTGATTTAGTGGAACGAATTTAATATAATAAAGTTTGCTACTTATCTGTATGTAGGTTGCTAAAAAGGATTTTCTTAACTCAGATTTTAAGCCAGATAACCATTTAACACTAGTATATGTTAAATGGGGTATTTTTCTGTATTTGTATGTTTCACTATAATAAGGGAACTGAAGATAATGTGCATTGAGAATATTTTGAAAAATAATCAATTGACTCAAATTTTATTTCTTGGTCTTTTGCTGTTTTAATGATGAATTTGAAAGATTAAACTTGTACTGTTGGTATCGTGTAGTGTCTGGACCAATATTGCCTGAAATAAAAGATTTTATATATATAGATGCCTTTCATCTCTTTGGTGTAGTTTTTTCTCCATGAATTGTTGGAATTAGGTGCTAAAATCACAAGTTGGTTTGTTTATTTGTTTATTTATTTATTTATTGGTCTTTTTCTCACTATACAGTTCAGGCTAGCCTTGAGCTCACTTTGTAGCCCAGGCTGGCCTCGAACTTGCAATGATCCTCCTGCCTCAGCCTCCCAAGTGCTGGCATTAGAGGCACACGCCACCACGCCCAGCTCACAAATTAGTTTATAAAAAATTTCACTTAAGCAGTGAGCAACTGAATGCAAACTGGAGGGATATCAAAGCAACTTTTCGCTTTGCCCTCGCCTTGAATTTTGGCCAAATAAGAGGCTTCCTGTATTGACTGACACAGGAACTCCCAAGGAGCTCCTCTCTGTCTCACTCAAAGGAACTAGATTAGTAGTGTCCCACTGTGGGCTGTGGGAATCCACTGGGGAACCACATCCTAGACAGACCTTTGTGGGTTGGAAGCGATCATTGAGGGCTCAGGGGCCAGGAGGTGCTGCCAGACACAGGGCTGAGCTGGCCTCTCTGCAGCCCTGAACACCTGCAGGGCTAGACCCAGCAAGCCAGGAAGAGTGGTGATTAGGGTCAGCTGAGGGACTTAAAAGGATAGGCTCTGCTAGGCTGCAGTGTAGCAACCCTTTAACTTTCAAGCTGAGTGATTTCCTCAAGACAACTACGAGTGAGGGGTGCTAGGCATGCTGCAGGTACTGAGATGTGAGAAGTAGTCGCAGAACCACAGGCTCAGAGTCAGAAGCATCCCTGGAAGTGATTAGGAGAGCCTTTTCTTCACATGTGAAAAGGCCCTCAAGACCGGTTATTTTTTGCCATGTGTACAAGGTAAGAGTTCTACCACTGAGCTACAACCCAAACCCAAGAATCTCCCGGCCCCCAAACTCCCTCTACGTTTTCTGTGCCTTGGCTTTCCACCTCCTCAGCAATTCTTTGTGCTCTGAACCATCCTTTCAGTAAATTCCATTTCTGCCTAAATCAGCCAGTTTTATGCTCTGGTTTGCAGTTAACTGCCTGCTACGGCCTTGTTCTCAACATGAGGAAGAAAAAGTTAATTATTCTACGGTGAGATCACAGCCATATCCTACAAGTGAATGGCTCATTGGGCAAAGAAGGTGGTGAGGGAACAGAAGAAAGGAAAAACAAATCAGCTAAACTCCAATCCCATATGGATGGATAACTGAGGAAACAGGAATAACTGGTGTGTCTATTTGGACATGTTAACTCATGGGGAAAAATTTTTTTGAGACAACGTCTCCCTATATAGTTCAGGCTAGGAACCCTGTGACTGGTAGGGTATTCTCCCTCATCCTCACCTTTCCTGAGGCTGGGTACTCAATGAGGACCCTTTGCATAGAGTCCTTGATATTCTTTTGACTCCGTTCCGGGGACTTGCATCAGCAGAAAACCTGATAGAAAGCATATCACCCAAGCACTTGGTGCAGGCTGCAAACACTGTAGTGGGCTGGGGAGATGAGAATCCAGGCTTCTTGTGAATATCCGCTGCAAGGGATGAACGCCAATCTGTAGAATCCCATTCTGGGGTCATGATACAAAGTCTTCAAGAAATATGGACACAATTACTTAAAAGTACCCGGTCTGAGGGCTGGGCTTCCCTCCTATGTTACCTGCTGTGTAAGTAAATGCTTGGAAGCTTTAATAATTAAATGAACAGAGCTGGGTGTGGTGGTGCATGCCTGTAATCCAGCACTTTGGGAAGCTGAGGTAGGAGGATGGCAAGTTTAGGCCTATCCTGGGCAATTTAGTAACACCTTATTTCAAAATGAAAACTTAAATAGGGCTGGAGACATACCTCTGTGCAAAGGCAGCTGTGGGTTCAATCCCTAGTACCACAAAATAAATACATAAATTATTTTAAAATTTAAAAAGCTGGAAGTGTAGCTCACTGACACCACCTGCCTAGCATGCTCACCTGGCTTCAACCCCCACCACCACATAAAAAATAAAAGTTAAAATGAGCATTATTTCATAATGGTATAAAAAGTAGCCATTGAGGACGAGGGATATAGCTCAGTGGCACTGTGTGAGGTCATGAGTTGGACTCCCCATACCAAAAAAATGCATACAAATTTTGGGCCGGGGCTGTAACTCTGTGGCACAACGCCTGCCTGGCAAGCGCAAAGTCCTAGGTGCAATTCCTGGTATCAAAAACAAAACAAAACAAAAAAGGCCTAGAAGCTCAGGTTCTGGCTGATCAGGACAAGATGGAGCTGAACTAACCTTTCAGAGGAATGGCCCCAGGTGCTCAGAAAAAGAAGAGGAAACAGCACAGCCTTTTAATCCAGGGTGATTCCCTGCCACCGAAAGAGAATCCCCTGCAGTATCTCACAAGGAACTGTTGGTCTGAGATAAATTGGGCAGCAAAAGTACTCTGAACCTTAAAAAGGCCTGTGCAAAATGCCAACTGTCTTGTGGAGGCACAGAGCAGATTCTGTTCTGGTGGCCTACGATGCATCAGAACTGGTGATGTGACCATGTTTGTTTCTGTTAGTAATATATAGTACTACGTAACTCAGATCCGCACAAAGAAATCAAGAACGCTAGACATGATAAATCACAAAGTTAATAAACCCACCAACAATATACTCTCAAAGTTATAAAGACAAGATTATGTAAGAATAATGTTTGTAACAAATAAAGAAGGGTAGTAATAGCTCAAAAAGGGGAGGAGGAACTGGAGGTGTAATCTTACTGGAAATTTAGTATCAACCTGAAGCAGATTCTGAAAAAATGAATCTTTACTCTTCAAAGCAACTTTTAAGTATATAATTTAGATGTTAAAAATCATTTAAGAAGGGCCAGGATACAGCTCAGTGGTGCAGCAACTGCCTGGCAAGTGCAAGGTCCTGAGTTCCATTCCTGGTACCAACAAACAAACCAATCATTTAAGCAAGATCATATCCACTTTATTCGAAAAGAAGACAATAAAGAATAAACAAAAAAGATGTAAGATATGGAAACAACAAAACTGCAGGTGTAAATGAGCCACTGACACGCTGGGCCTTGATGATGGGCCCCAGCGGGTACACTGAATGTCTGGCACAGGCTATCCAGGTAACCAGCAAGAGCCCATTTTACATCTGTGGAAACAGAACCAGACAAGGATGACCAGATGTGTGCAGGAGTCACACAGCTGACCTATGGCCGGTGGACTCTCACCTTAACCTCTAGCTCTCAGCTGTGCCTTTTCTTTTTTTCGTAACATTATGTTGCCTTAATTCTCTCAAGTTGTATTTGTCCTGTTAGTAGGGTGGTTGGGTTTTTTGTTGTTGTTTTTTGTACTGGGGATTGAGCCCAGAGACTACTGAGCTACATCCCCAACCCTTACTAGTTTTTGTTCGTTTGTCTTGAGACAGGTCTGAAGTAGCCCAAGCTGTCCTCAAATTTCCCATCCTCCTGCATGTGCCTCCAGAGCTGGTGGGATTACAGGTGTTCACCACTTGCAGCTCTGCTCGTAATTACTGATGTTGGAGGCCAAATCTCGATGTGAGGCCTCCGCAGCCACCTAACTGTGTACATTCACTTACCGGGGGTACACTGGTCCTCCTCCTGAAGGAAACAATTCCTGACAAATACTGTCAAATCACGTTATCCCTCGCCAACTCTGCCTTTTTAATTACAAATCATACTTTGACAAGATCTGACATTTAGAGTCAGAGGGCACACATTACTGAACACCCTCCCCCTAGTACCGTGGTTTTTTTTTGTAGGACTACCGTTCAAAATATCCTTTGGAAAACAACCTGCCCATAACACCCCCTGGAGCCTGAGAGTCTACTGCTTTTTTTTAAAGAGCAGAATAAATTTATTGAGGGAAAGAAAGCTTCTGTCCAAGGGAGGGACAGAAGGGGGCCCAAATGGGTTGCCCGACTATACGGCTTGACTAACATTCTTTAACTACTTTCTAAACAGCGACTACACTAGCTTTGATATGCTTCCAGGAAAAGAGCAATTGACCCCGTGGGACGACTGCAGGGTGGGCTGCTGGAATGACTTCTTAGGACGGCCAGCCTTTGAGTCTGAGTTTCTCAGCTACTAGCTTTTGCAACTATGGTCAGGTGACTTCACCAAGTCTCAGTTTTCCCTTCTGAAAAGCCAGCGAGTACAGCAAAACAGACCCTCCTCATAGCGCTATCATGAAGTGAGAGAGTCACAACAGGAAGATTTTTGGAGCACTTATCACGGACCCAGCAAGTTCCATGAATCGCCTCATTTAATTCGGAGGGCCATACAGGTACTATCGCCCTTTTACAGGTGCACGGGCCGAGAAGCGAAGGCTGAAATCTGCCCGGGTCTCACTCCTGGGTTCTTGGGCCCTCCTCGCCTCTGCACTTTTTTTTTTTCCTTCCTTCCGAAAAGTAGCACTTAGTCCTTCAAAATATGTAGTGAGAGCAATGGACCCGACTGCCATTACCATCATAACCCCTAAAAAATATCCGGGCAACCTGGGCTCCAGGTAGGACAGCGGTCACAAACGCTCCGGTCGGAGAGACCAAAGAACCTCACGTTTCCGAAGGTCCAGGGCGGCGCCTGCGCAGATCCGCGGAGGGAGGTGGGACCAGCAGGAAGATGACACGGCTGCACGCAGCGCGAGCGTGTGCGCAAACTCCTTGGGCGCGGGGGCGTGGCTTGTTAGGGCCCTGGCGGCCAGGCGGAGTCGGCGTCAGCGTCAGCGCACACTCCTTGGGCGGGAGGCGGGACGGCGCGGCGACGCGGCTGACGTGGAGGGTGCGGGTTAGCGGGCGCGGCGGGCTCTGGGATTGGGGAGCCACGGGCCTGGCCGGGCCCCTGGGCCTGAGGCGGCGGCAGCGGCGGCGGTATAAAGCCGGCGGCGGGGAGCATGTAATGTCGGAATGCGGAGGCCGCGGCGGCGGCGGCAACAGCAGCAGCGACGACGCCGAGGACGAGGGTGGCGGTGGCGGCGGCCCGGCGGG